TTCTGAGGCCGCTGCCCGACTGCGAGCACCTTCAAAAAAAGGAAAGCGTGCTCAAAGGACCAAGGCCGGTGGTGGCCTTTCCACCGCGGCACTTCCGCGAGCTCTACAAGATCTTGGAGAGCCACCAGTTCTCGCCGCTCAACCACGCCAAGCTGCAGCAGCTGTGGCTCAAGGCGCACTACATCGAGGCCGAGAAGCTGCGCGGCCGGCCCCTGGGTGCTGTGGGCAAGTACCGCGTGCGCCGCAAGTTTCCGCTGCCACGCTCCATCTGGGACGGCGAGGAGACCAGCTACTGCTTCAAGGAAAAGAGTCGCAGCGTGTTGCGCGAGTGGTACGCGCACAACCCCTACCCCTCCCCGCGGGAGAAGCGGGAGCTGGCGGAGGCCACGGGTCTCACTACCACACAGGTCAGCAACTGGTTCAAGAACCGGCGACAGCGTGACCGGGCAGCCGAGGCCAAGGAAAGGTACGAGTAAGTAGAGCTCCCCTTGGGCTCCAGGGAGGGGGTCGCACGGCGTGGGCTCAACTCCCAGCAGAGGCCTACACCAGGCCCCTAGTCAAAGCCACCACGGCCCAAGTGAATCCTGGCCTGACCCGGGTGGCGCTGAGATCTTTAGGGAGACCCAGAGGGCAGGGATTTGTCTAAAGCGGGCAAAGCCATTCGGGAAGTTATTGACTGACGCCCGGGTCGCTTGTGGACAAAAATGGAGACGCAGTGAGCGTCCAGGCAAAAGCAAGACCGAGACCGTGATCCTGGGTCGCCTGCAAGCGGGGCTCAGCAGGCAGAGCCTGAGAGTCCTCCAAAGGACTGAGTGGGTTTGGCCTGTTGGGGTTGCTGATTTCGGGAGGCCTAAGCGAATTCACTAGCACTTCTAGCACGTCTGCACTTTCCGTGGGCCTTACTCAGTTCTAGGCCCTCTAGCCTGGGATTGGAACTTCCCTGGTATGACCTGAATGCGGAGGGGCCTGGGCAAGAATTTTCCTTGTCTGGATATGAGTTGACAGCGAGAATCTTTTAACCCGCATAGAAAGGACAGAGAGGCCAAGAGCTGGTAAGTGTCAGCTCTGGGAGAGAAGAGAAACATATGCCCCTTTTTCCGCCTTGTTGGACCCAGCAGCCCTTCCCTGGCCTGCCATGCCCTGGACCCCTCTCTCCTTGGGTTTTACCCACCCTGGTGGGTAGGTCTAGGTCTAGGGTGAGCTGAGAGTGGCAGAAAGGCTGAGAGTGGCTTGTCCTCAGGGAAACCAAGACTTCCTGAACTAGCCTAACACTGACCTAGGCCCTTGTGGCTGCCAGCCCTGTTGCCCCTCAGAAATCCAAATCTGGAGGTGGGAGAGAAACTGATTGTGGGGGCAGAATCCAGCCTTAGGGCAACAGCAAAACAAGATACCTGGGGTTGGTGGCACCCGGTGTATGTGAGCCAGAGTTTGCATGATTAGGGTTAGGTGGGGGTACTGAACAGTGGACCCAGATCTCTGGAGGGGTGGGGGGGGGCGCTGCTTCAGGGGGACCCTAATCTCTGAAACCATGAGGTTAAGGTATCCACAGTTGTAAGGTATCAGCTCTGTGGGAAGTTCCCTTCCAGGAAAACAGGAAGAAAGGGCCTTGGGAAGCCCGTGGAGAAAATCTACCCAAGATTTCAAATCTGGCAAAGGAAGGGCAAGGAGGTGGGGTCTCACTGCTAGGGTCCCCTTCCACCCAGACTGGCATGCGTCCAGACTCCTGAGGAACTTGGTTCTCAGGCCAGGCCCCAGGTGAGGGCCGCAGAGTCCCTCCTTTTCCTGTATGACCGGAAGGTTTAGGCGCCTTCGTTCTCCTGTCCCCGTTCTCCTACGAGCTGCCCTCCAAGCCCCCAGTTTCCAGTCCCCCAGAGGAAAGTTTTCACTGTGCCACCAGGGAAAGGAGAGTCCTATATCTGTAGGGCTTTGTCTCTAGCCCCAGCCAGGAGACCCCTCACCAGGCCTGCCAGTTTGGAGCTGGAGGGAAAGGACTCAGCTCCAGGAACCTGCCCTCAGTGAGGGATTTCCCTCCAGCAGAGGAAAGGAAAAGGAGAGGAGGGCCTCGGAGGTCCCCAACTTTAAGCGTCTAGTATCTAGGGCAGTGATGGCGAACCTTTTGAGCTCGGCATGTCAGCATTTTGAAAAACCCTAACTTAACTCTGGTGCCGTGTCACATATAGAAATTTTTTATTTGCAACCATAGTAAAACAAAGACTTATATTTTTGATATTTATTTTATATATTTAAGTGCCATTTAACGCAGAAAAATCAACCGAAAAATGAGTTTGCGTGTCACACTCTGACACGCGTGTCATAGGTTCGCCATCACTGATCTAGGGCCTCTCACCTCCTGGCCCTACATCTACCCAGCAGCCCTGGATAGAGGAGCAAGATGTGAAAAGCAGACCAACTCAGGGAGCATGCTCCCCGACCCCGCTGCTCTGGGAAAAAATGTCAGCAAGTCAGTGAGGGGG